TTCCCCTCCCCTTTTTATCCTTTCGTTGCACCAGCCTGCTGTTGTTTTATGGATTTGTGCTTTGGCTTTAACAGGTCTGCAAAGCATTTGCCTTGGGTGAGTGCCGGCAGCGTAGCGCTAACACGGAGCAAAGCGACTGGGTGTTAGAGCTGCGCCCGGGGCTTTGCGAGAGCGTGGCAGATGCAGCGGGCCGGGCCGGTGCCCCCGAGAGCTGGAGTTTTGCCAAGGGGCTAATATCATGAAGGGTGTGCGGGCAGATATATTGGTGCATGGCCTGCCTTTACGCTAGACCTGCATCCGTTACACTCAGTGTTCACGCGTGGAATGGTACCTGTCTGTGTTAAATTCCATGGTACGGAAAAGACCTGCCTGTTACTCCTTCGATGACAGCAAATCAGCGTCACGGAGGAATGCTGCTGAAAAACTATTTGCATAAATCTTTGAAATATTTATCCACTGACAAAAGCACTTTGTGTCACTCTGTTTTATTTGCTCCAGTGTTTTTACTTTATCATTTGCTTGGAGAAAGCAAACTAAATTGAATTAAAATGGGGGGGAGGGGGGTTCCTATTTAGCTGCTCATAGTGAAACACAAATCTAACTGTGTTTTTTATCTCTCTTTTCCTTTTCTCGTTTGACCTGGATTTGTCTTTTGGTGTCTTTGATATCCCTGTGTGATCCTGTCTTCTTCATTACTTTAAAGGTAAGATTGTTATTTCCTCAGTCAGTATTATACATGTGTCAGAGGTACGGAAACACAACTTGAAAGCCATCTGGGGAAGGGGTTAGTAAGGAGGCAGAATAATTAGTGGCCATTTGGAGTGCAAGAAGTCCAATTAAGAAGTACATTTTGTATCTAACCATTGGCTGCAAGCAGGGATGCTCTGCACAGAGGAGGCCGGGGTTTTCCTGGCAGCCCGCTGACGATGTGTTGTGCGCAGCGCTGCTGGGCCACGCCGGGCTTTGTCTCCCTCCTGCTCCTTCCCGGCTCTGCCAGCGCTTCCCGGAGCGCAGCCGAGGGGCAAGCGAAAGGGGAGCAGGGGCACTGGAGCAGCCTTGGAGCAGCATCTGCCCGGGACTGCAAGGAGCTAGGCAAGGTCGCTTGGTGTTTCCCTTCACACAGGAGTGACGGAGAATTGCAGCCGTCGAGAGGAGGCTCAGTAATCTAAAGATACATATAGAACAGATTCTTTAATTTACAGTAGAGAGGTGGGATGCCAATCAAGATCAGGATATAAAGGTGTACAAAGACAGGCAGGGACATTGTCTCTTCCCTGAAAGCCTGCAGTGTTTTCTGTCTATCTCTGTGTTACAAGTATGTCTTTGGTTTACACTGCATTTTTCTGCCGCTCTCGGGAGTCTGCCAAGGCTGAGGTGAAACACCTCCAAACCACTCCTTCCCAGAGCTTGCTGCCTTTTGATGCCTTTTCAGTACCTTCTGTTCCTCAGGAACCGAAGGTACTTAGGGAAGAGAACCTTCTGCAGGAGGAATTTAGAAATGTGCAGGTGCTGGGAGGCAGGGCTGTGTATTTTCTGACAATTTTCAAGCACAGCATTTCGCTGAAGACAAGCAGCAGAAACTAAAGTAGGAAATTTTATTTTAATGAGCACTTTTCTATGTAACCAGCACGTGGCAAATACTGAAATCCTGACGCTTCCCAGCTTGCGCGGAGACGGTCCCAGTCTCTGACAGATCTGGAAGATACGATGATTTTTCCAACCTTTATACTTTCCCCTCTCTCAGAGGTCCAGAAATACGTGGTGTAGTGTCTGGGTCATCTCTGCAGCCCTGCACAGGCCTGGCTGGGTTCCAGAGAGTGACTGACGGAGAGGGGTGGACCCGGTAGCCTTGCGCCTCTCTCAACAATAGTGGGTTGCCTCCATTTACATAGTGACAGTGGAGCCACAGAAGACTCAATGAATTTAATTAGGAGGAGCGGAAAAATGTGTGTACTCATTATGTAAAACATGTAAATTTAACCCTTGAAATGGAATTGCCAATGACTCACCACTGTGGCTGGGTGCCAGCGCCAGAGGGAAAATTACAGAAGCTGCAAGTGTGTCACAAGAAATTACGTCGACTACGTTAAGGTTCCTGGGTTTTGTTGAGGAGGTAGTTGTTCGTGCCCGTTGTAGACTAAAAACTTGTTAGGAATATTGGGTTTTCTCCATTAAAAATGGGCTCTGAAGTGGGAGATGTATCTATAAGAAAGTTAATTGGTAGAAGCCGAGAAAAACATGGAAGGAATAGGAAGAATCATGTACTGGATCTCTACCAAAGTGTGTGCGCAGGGTAAAAGGCCATAATAAACATTACACAATGTGTGGCCACCGTAGGAACACTCAAGGCTCTGATGGGTGTTGCAGTGCCAAAAAACGGCTGTGAGGAAAGTTTTTACCTACCCAGTCGCTGCAAATGTTAATTCACAGACCCTCAGGCAACTTACATGAGGCTGGATTATCGCGGTGGGATGCCCTGGGGTCTCGTTCGGCCTCACTGTCGAGGGTATGGAACAAAGAGTTTCATGGTGAGCTTTAGACTTATTGTTTCCAATAAGAAGGGAAGGGACTTAACCCTCAGGCTGTTGCTGACACTTCTGGATCCCGTCCAGGAGCGGGTGTGTATAGTCGCAGCTCTTAGGACGGTGCACAAAAAAGAATTTTTAAGGGTCTTTTTGAACTGCTGCCACTGTTGAAAAGCAAAAGAAAGGTCTCCTAATGACGCTGAATATTACACCTGTCATGCAGTAAATGAACCTCAAAGGCTCTAATTTTTCCATCCTGTCCCAGTGGCTGACGTAGCCCTGTACTGTAATCTGCGTAAGACCAAAGCAGGACTGGGAGCCGAAAGGGGTGTCCTGGAGCCTGCCGCTCGTAGGGGCCCAGGGGACCGGTGGGGTGGCATGGGTCTGGGTCGGGCTCCCGTCCTGCGGATCTCTGGGGAACAGCAAGCCAGACACTGACCGAGGCTGGCAGGGCCGGGAGCGGCTGGCGAAGGGCTCACCCGCTGGAAGGGCGTTTGAAAGGGCACTGAAAGGCAGAGCGATCTGGGCAACACGCCGCCACCAATGGGAAATACGGCCTGTTGGCGTGATTTGTTTTTCTACCCTTGAGCATGACCTCAGTTTATTTACTTACTCCAGGTTTCTTATTTTTTATGATTTATTTAAGAACCGCTGCTCTTAAGCTTTCTCGTGCTCTCTGGGGATCGTCTGGTGTGTACCATAGCTCTGCGTGGAGGCTCGTGCTTGCCCCGCAGTTCTCTCCACAAACACGCGGGCAGCTTCTCCCAGACCTGCAGAGAAGCGTCTCGCCTGACCCCATTTCCAGACGTCACCATCCAGGGATTTCCTGTGCCTACTCCAGAAAAATCCATCGCCATTCTGCTCAGAAGCAGGCGGTGAGCGTAGACGAGAAGCCTGGCAGGCCTGAGTCGAAGCACCCGGCTCCCACCAGCAGTAAAGCCCACCTCGCCGAGCGGGGAAGCGCGCTTTGCGGAGCAGATGTAAGGGGCTGAAACAAAAGTGCTGGGCGCGTTGGAAGGGTAATTGGTTTTGTTCAGAGACAAACTGCAGCCAGAATTGTCTGTTCCTGCCTGGCCATCGATACCCCCAGCCCGTTTGACCTGGCAGCTCAAGGTGAGCAGGCTGTTAGCCAGGAGTGACACGAGTAAGATTTTTTTGTGTTGTGATGCTGCTTTATTTTCCCAGTTTTGCAGTCTGAAAGCCTGAGGCGGTTATTAGACAAGGATGCTTAACCAGATCAGAGTCCAAGATTATTCCAGTCTTGGGTCACCATGTCAAGTGCTGCTGTTTGCAGCAATAGGTTGAAGGATTTAACTGCTTCATATCTCCAGTTACCTGGGGAGTGAGTTGGACTTGCAGTGGAGAAATGCTTGCTCACGCGGAACTGCGTGTAATTTTATGTCTGTGATTTACACCACACCTCAGAAGGAGTGGGGAAGGTCACCAAGGAAAGATTAACTATGGAATATAGAGAAGTGGTTATGAGAAGATTCTTACCACATTTTTAGTAACTAGAAAAAGTTCTGCTCCTCTTCCCAGGCCTGTCCCAGTGCTCCAGCAGAGTTACGCAGGCTGCGTATGCTCTCCCTTCCATTTCCATCCTCTGCTGCAAATTCTGCAGCGCAGCTCACCCACATGCGTCCTGCGGGGCTCCTCTGCCCGGGAGGTCAGAGGTCTCCCCGCAGCCTTCCCTTCCCCAGGCTGAGCAGCCCCAGCTCTCCCAGTCTTTCCTCCCAGCAGAGGGGTTCCAGCCCTCGGATCATTGCTGGGGGCTCCTCTGGCCCCGCTTCCACAGCTCCAGCTCTGTCCTGTGCTGTGTCCAGCTTTTCATCCCCCAGCACCCCCAAGTCCCGCTCGGCAGGGCTGCTCTCCATCCCTTCAGCCCCCAGCCTGGGTTGGTAGTGGGGGTTGTCCCGACCCAGGTGCAGGACCCTGCACTTGGCCTCATTGAACCTCATGAGTTTCACACAGGCCCATTTCTAGAGCTTGTCCAGGTCCCTCTGGATGGCATCCCATCTTTCTGGTGTGTCAACTGCACCTCTCAGGTTGGTGTCGTCTGCAGACTTGCTGAGGGTGCGCTTGATCTCGCTGTCTAAGTCATTGATGAAAATCTTAAACAGCACCGGTCCCAGTACGGACCCCTGCGGGACACCACTCGTCACCGGCATCCACTTGGAGACTGAGCCATCATAGAAGCCCAGTGACCCCTGTAATTCAGAAGTCAAAACTGCAGTAGTCTTTTGTGGTTTTAGTTTCTGCGAATGACAGTGAGATGAGTAAGTTCCTGGTTTCGCTGAGATTTGGTCAGGAAATGAAAATCAGTGTGAATCCTGTCACTTGGTACCCTGGCATTGACTTGGAGAGGTATTTCCCCGGTTTGCCGTGGCAGAAGGACCTTCCACTTTGGTTTGGGAGTTGTCTTTCCTGCCTCACACACAATACGAAAATATAAAAACGAAGCTTACCATTACAGCTATGTCCGAGCTGCAGGTATTTGCTTGTGTCAGCAGCCAGGAGGATATGAGAATTTGGAGGTATATCTACTCATTTGATGTCAATGAGCTCTCAAAAGAGAAAAGTAAACTAGTTGACATGGTAAGCGTTAGTATTGAAACATAAGTAGACTAGTTAACGTAAGGAAATGGTCTAAATCTGGATAGATCCTCATCTAGCTGACAAAAAAGTGATGGTGCAGCTGATCATCTCAGCAGGGCAGATCTCAGCAAGGAAAGCAAGAAGAGGAAAGGGCAAGCCGAGAGCAGGCTGCATTGCCCAGCCACGCTGGGCGGCTCTGGAACCCCAGAGGGGCACGAACTTCAGCAGAGGCTTGCGTTGTGCTGAGTCACCGCGACCACTGGTGTTCACTGTTGCAACCAGGAAAAAGTGTTTCTGGAATCGCAATGTGAAGGTGAGCAAGAGCACAGTCAGGAAAGGGAAGAAGCAAAAACTGAGGATTACTCAGCAGCAGCATTTTCAAAAGCACACAGGTAATTTAGGAGCCTGAGCTCCCACGAGAAGCATTTAGGATCATCTTTCTCACAGGTGATTTTAAAGTGTTGCCACCCTTCTGTTCAAAAAATTGGCTTTCGTTCAACATGGGTGCTCTCAGGAAGCCTACTGTAGCATCCACCTCCTTCCACTGAAAAATTGGACATGAAGAAGAGGGCCTACAGTGTTTTGAAATGCAAGCAGGCTTCCAGTTTATCAATATAAAATCTGGGAGTAACAGCTGCATTATCTGAGCCAAAAAATACTCGGTGGAGTGTTACACCAGTAATCTGGGGCTGTAGTTAGTGTGCACCACAGCAAGCGTTAAATGAACTGGAAAGCTCAGAAAGAAGCTCATACCGGGCAGTTTTTGTTTATGCTGAAATGTTCCCATATGTTTCAGTTGCAGAACATAATTGGGTCTGCCTTGGGATGGAGATGTTTTTCTTACGCGATTTATCCATTAATCGGGTGTCGGGGAGAGTCCACCTCGCCAGGAATGGCTGCCTTTCCATTTTAGCCAAAAAGCCTCAGTTCCAAATCTCCTCCCTTCTCTCTTCCCCTCAGTGCGCTCGTTCTCCTCTCAAAATACGTTCTGCTTTTCTGCAGTGAAATAACCTGGTGGAACAGTTTCAAACATGAGGTAAAATAGTCCTGCCCTAAATTAGCTTCCAGTTAATGTGTTTCCTGGCTCAGTCTGACAAGCAGCTCACATTGCACATGGATGTTCCTAAATTAGAAAATCGTACATATAAAAGTTTTCTTGTGTTTTTGTGTGTGTGTTGCTTCAAAGTGAGGATTTCTGGTTTTGATTTTAGTACCTCAAAGTAACAGGAATGAATTGTGCTTGACATTAATTACATCCTTCTGCTGCTTTATTATTATTAGAATAAACAAGCTACTGATTTGAGGGAGAGAAAAGTCCACAAGGTGTTTGAGGTCTTTATTTCCTTTTCCTTTGGTAAACTTCCAGTAATTTAGCTTGCCTAATTTGCCGCTGGAAACCTGCTGCTGGGAGTACTCGTACCTGAGAGAGAATAAAATTAGTGAACTGCAAGGAAAATTTCAGTAATGAGATGAGAAGCGGGGAAAAACGGGCTTTGTCTGCTTGTTTGCTTTTTGTGCGTGAAGGTGCACAGAAAGCAGGAGGAATATCGATGGTCTGAAAGCCAGACAGCGAGCGGTGCGTGAAACGGGATGCTCGGTGACGTCGAATGGGTCTGCTGGGCCTTACGCGGTGTTCCAGCACCAGGTGGATGGTCCGGCACGCCCACCTTCCGTTGGACTCGCAGCGGTGTCATCGGTCACGGGATTGCCGTCTCGGCAGCGGGGAACACTGCTGCGTCCTGGAGCCGTTATTGTGGCTCCCCCGCGGTTATTTT